GTGTGTGTGTGTGTGTGTGTGAGTGTGTGTGTGTGTGTGTGTGTGTGTGTGTGTGTGTGTGTGTGTGTGTGTGTGTGTGTGTGTGTCTGTTTCTGTGTGTGTGTGTCTGTGTGTGTGTGTGTGTGTGTGTGTGTCTGTGTCTGGTGTGTGTGTCTGTGTCTGTGTGTGTGTGTCTGTGTCTGTGTGTGTGTGTGTGTGTGTGTGTGTGTGTGTGTGTGTGTGCGTGCGTGCGTACGTGTGTCCGTGCGTGCGTGCGTGCGTGTGTGTGTGTGTGTGATAGGGCCCGACAGTAACAAGGAAGTCAAACGGGCCATACTGTGACGCCAAAGGATGACTACTCCTGACGCGGACCCGCCCCTTCATTGCTTGAAGTGGGGCAAGGATGACGCAGAAAAGGAATAAAGGCTGAATAAACGTGATTCAGCAAATTAACATCTTTAACCTATAGAGAAAACCTAGTCCAACAGTCCCATCATGGAGGCCACGTTTAAGTAAATCCACAGGTATTTCACATAGGTATAAAACAGTCTGACCAATCACAGCAACCCAGATTGTTTTCCTTGCTACACAAACATCTCAGATAGACACATTTGTTGGAACTCCTCCACAACAATAATAAGAAGAATATAAATAGAAACAGTTTTCCCAGATGCCCCCCTCTGGAGCCAAGCCTGGAGGTGAGGCATGTTAGCGAGCACATGATGGCCGGGCTTTCACCCATGGAGACCGGTCGGGCACAGCCCGAAGAGGAAAAGTGGATCCCACTTCCCATGGACTTACCACATGTGGGAGGGGCCAAAGGGGTCAGGTGGAATGGGTGATGGGTAGTAGCCAAAGGTAGGGACCTTGGCGGTCTGATCCTCGGCTACAGAAGATGGCTCTCGGCATGTGGAATGTCACCTCTCTGGTGAAGGCCTTAGTTGGTGTGTGAAGTTGAAAAGTCTCTGGTGATCTGACCTGCATCTCTAACAGTGAGAAGCACCTGGAGCACTGCATTGCTCCCGTTCCAGTCTCAGCTTATTCCGTTTACAAAAGTGAAACTTACGGTCCGTGTTAACTTTCATTTTCAATGTAGTTACCAGCTGGAGCTCAGCAGTAACCTCCCATGTGATTATGACACCTCCCTCTGTTGCACCCAGGCATAATCTGCATTCACAAGTTCTTTAATATTACTACCAACCTCGGTGCCAGGAATGCACCAAAATTCCCACAAAGCCACGCCGCCACGACACGTTCATAAGACACACCGTGGCGGCAGTATTACGCTGATTTGCCAGCATGGTGTGTCTTGTGAAAAGGGCTTTAGAAAAAATGGGAGAAGCTCGTCCATTCGAGAGGAGCCAGCTAAGGTGGCTTGGACACCAAGAGGGAAGTCTGGGCCTCTCTGCTTAGGCTACTGCCACTGTGACCCGTCTCTTACATGGACGAAAACGGATGGATGGATCTTCCACAATAAAAAAAGTGTCTCTGAATTAACTTGAAACTGGCCAAAGTTGGGTAGCATTCCTTTTTGTTTAATACTTATTTAACACTAACCTGATTAATTGTTTGACTGAATATTTCATTTAACAAATAATAATTTCAAGGACAAAAAAGCCTTGGCACCCTCAATGTGATGCTTTATGGCAGCAAGTGTTGCTTGAATCATGGCCAATAGGCAACCTCTGTAAATCTGGGCTCCTTTAAGAATAACTAGGAATGCCTTATTTTGCTTAGAGTGTTTGGTTTTGTGTTTGGGATCATTACATTGTTGAAGGACCCATTAATCACAACAGAGACCAGTCTCTCCAGTCTCAATCAGTCCTGCATTGATCTCCAAAACAAAGCTGAGATTCCTTGATGTTACGCAGCAGGTGGAGTGTTCTTTTCATCAAACATTTTTTTCCATCTCTAAACTTGGATTCGGGAATCTGATGTGCTTGTCGTTTTTCTGGAGGTTGCACTCCCAGGGACTTTTGACCCTAATGGCCATCTGTTGGTAAGGTCTTACTCGAACACAAAAATGCTCCGGAGAAGGCGTTAGCATTGGCCTCACGTTAAGTGTTCGGCATTTTAGATTCTCAGAATTTTGTTGGGTCCTCTGTGTGCTCGTGTTTGGTTGTTAATCTTGGAATTATTAAGCAAAGATGGCTAGCTGTGGTAGTTGAATAGGGTAAAACGCTGTACTTTTAACATTATGCTGCTTAGTCAAAAATGGGCTGAAATATGATGTGCTGGTGGGGCTGGGACTCTGTAACATCTTCCTTGTTCAGAACCAGGTGGCCGGGGCGTGCATCTGATTGACTTTGCTGCTCCACCGTGGTCTGAGATCTGCTGGGCTGCCACTGCAGAAGGAGGACGGTACTGTCTTCCTCCCTTCTGCATTCGCTGGCCATCCGGCACATGTGCAAGACAGGAGCAGTGCTTCTCGCTTGTGGAGCTCTCTGAGGGAGACCAGAGAAACACCCCAGCTTTGTGACTTGATGCATGTTCAATCATTCAACCATGTTTTCCTAGCTAAAAACACCTAGAAACCTCTGTAAGCTTAGCTTAGCTCAGTTAGCTTGTAGCTAAATTAGCTAAGACTAGCGGCTTACATCCTCACAGGCAGGCTCTCAGCTCCACCTAATTGCCCATTTTTGTATCGTCCGGGAGTGGAGACGTGTGACAAAGCCAATGTGGCAGTGTGAGCGTCCTGTCACAGTGTCCCGATTGATCATGCGCCCTGTCTACTTGGTCAAGGGGATGTCCCTTTGGCTGACTGGTTAGCACACGTGACTCTCACCTGGGAGTCTGGGGATCGAATCCCGCCCGGGCCCTCGTTTCTCCACCTTGCCACAACAAGATGGCAGTGGTGGGAGCCGCCCTTTAGGTTTCAATTCAGCTCTTCAAAAATCTATAGGTGATGTCCTGTATGTTTTTCAGTCATTGGTTATAATAAGAAACAGGAAGGAGACCTTGTTAAAACAGTCTGAAGAGATAAAAACACCTCATCCATAACATCAAACCCAACAAAACCATTGGTGCTTTATCCGTGTTCTCACACCTGTTGTATTAGAACAGAGGAGCTCTGTGAGGTTGATCTGATCTCATGCAAATGTTTTCCAGTAACAGGCAGATATTGTTAGCAAAGTAGGCTGATGTCACAGAAATGTACATATATGATTAAATAGTTTCACTGGAATGAATCAAAAGGGGAAAAGCTGAAAGGAACGTCATTTTATTTGGTTTGAGACTGAAACAAGACCTTTGTGTCAAACGTAAACCCTTTTTCTTTTCTTCCTGTAACATGGGAGGGATAACTTGAATATAATCAGGTGTGATGCCAAATTTCAACCTTAGTCAGAATTCATCACTGTTAAGCGTTCACTTTGTTTATTGCCCAACTGTTCAGCACAATAAATAAGATTATTTAGTGAACTTTTTTTTGCAGCCAATAAATGGATATTTAGTTCAAGTCTTAGAGTTAGAACTTTACTCTCGTGTTGATACCACTCCTCATCTCCAAAGTTTTTCAACACATCTGACCAGAAAAGTTCGCAAATTGTTCGTGAATGTTTCCATATACGCCAAGTAGCTCGCTTCTGTAGCATGCGACGCACCATGGTAGCTCGCCTCCTACGGTACCATCTCCTGGATGCGTGACGGATATGGAATTAGGATTGGGACAATATTACATGTAACTTGTACCAAGCTTTGTAACCTGTAGCATGTTTTGTAACTGTAACTTTCATTTTGTAGCATGTAATTCTTGTTTTGTAACACGTAACTTTTGTTTTGTAACACATGATATTTGTGACGTAAAATGAAACTTTCATTTTGTAACTTGCAGAAAACAATCAACGTACAAGTTTCAAATCACAACTCTCAAAACACACATCTCAGTCTACAGTTACAAAACTCAAGTCTATGAGTACAAAACATTTTGTCCCAATTCTAGCTTCCTTCCCAAAGAACCAATGACAGGTTTTATCAAACCAGCCAGTCATGAGTCTTGGATTCCTGTCAAAGACTATTCCTGTTGTAAGGAAGCTAGTATTGGGACAAAATATTTTGTACTTGACAACTTGAGTTTCGTAACTGTAGCCTGAGATTTGTGTTTTGAAAGTTGTGATTTGAAACTTGAACACTGATTATTTTCTGCAAGTTACAAAATAAAAGTTTCATGTTACGTACCAAAGTTACATGTTACAAAATGAAAGATATATGTTACATAACAAAAGTTATGTGCCACAAAACAAAAGTCACAGTTACAAAACATGTTACAAGTTACAAAACTTGGTACAAGTTAAACGTAATATTGTCCCAACCGTAGCTCCATAGGCGGAGCACTTCACAATGCTTCCGTGATTCTTTCATTAACCATTGAGCTTCATCATCCAGGTCTCTTATGCATCTTCGTGTGTGCAGAATTGTGCTTAGCATAAGTCCGATCAGTGAGAGGAATTCTATCACTTCGTCGGCCATGTTTGACTGAATAGCTTTGTGTGGGGAAATGACGGATGTACGCCCGTCGCACTATGTTTACGCAATATCCAGGTACAGCCTCACCATCCCCCACCCCCTCCCCCTCAGACACCTGGATCTTTTCCCTGTTGTGTGAAGGCAGCCGAAAGGACAAGTTCAGGTGGGGGGGGGGGGGGGGGGGGGGGACAAGCTCAGGTGCAAAAGTGGTGTGTCTGAAAACACAGTTATGGTTAAAGACCAGACTGAATTGTCCACACATATTTCAGAAAGTCTATCTGGAAAGGGCTTTGGACTCACATCAGGAGGTGGGAATGGGATTAGCCCACACCACCAAATGTTTGCCAGTTTAAAAGAACACATTGGTATTTTCTTTGTGCTTTTACATACAGAAAATGTTACGTCTTATTTTACTCAGGGCTCCAACAAAAATGATCATAAATGGGTGTTTTATCACCTAAAAGGCTTCTGTAAATTGTTCAAGTTGTCCATTTCCTGCTGTTTTGGGTCAGAAACATAAGAAAAGGAGAAAAACGGATAGATGTCTTGTTACTTACAGTAAATGCTGAGATCCATGGTCCTGCTGTACTTGCTCTGGCTCACTGAGTTGTTGACCACACAGCAATAAGCTCCCCTGTCTTCTTTTTTAACCGGGTTAATCAGCAACATGGAGTTGTCTTGGCTGAAGTGGTGTCTGTCACTGGGTTTCAGTGGGAGCCCGTCCCTCTGCCACTGGAACACAACCCTTGTTCCTCTCTGAACAGAGCAAGTCCAGGTTACATTGGCTTTGTCTTCTATGACTGGATAAGATGGGGTCTTCTCAATGAGTGGGCCAGAGACAGGGACTAGGGAAGAGGAAAGAACAAGAGCTGATGAATCAGGAGCTCTGCTGAATTTCACCATCTTGCCATGTGAACACAACTCACCGTCTACCGTTACATGAATCACTTTGTCCTCTGTGATGACTGTCCGGTTGTGGAACTCTACATTAAGGCTCAGATGATAATCCCCTTCATCATCCTGGTTTAATCTCAGGATAAGCAAAGAAACCTTGGGTGGTTCGAAGAGGAGGTGGTTGCGACGGACCATGTTAATGATTTTAGTGCTGTTGGTAAATGTGACCAGCACCGTCCTGGTGCCACTGGGATTGGTGTGAGACCATGTTCCCTGGATCTTAGCCACATCCAAGGAAAACGAGGTCTCCACTGACAGAAGCAGGGGGTTCTGTTCAGTCCCATGACGAACCAGGGAGGGAATGTGGATGAACCTGCTGCTGACGTCTGTGGAGATAGCAGAACGTGAGAAGAAGAGGATCTGTTATTCATCGCTCCTGTTTTTAGATTCTGAGAGCCAACCCAAAGATTTCAACCAATATGGTCTCTGATCAAATGCTTTATTTGGCAGTCAGCACTGATGTAATGTAAGTTTCATTATATGTGTGTTTTTATGCTTTTTCTTCTTATTTGATAAAGCATCTTCTAGGGTTCTACACCCCCCAAGGTGCTTTACAACACAACCAGGCCTTCACACACACGCTCACACCCTGGTGATGGAGAGCTTTTATGTTCATGTTAAAAGCAACAATGACGGATTTTATTTGGATATCTGGACTTGGTCAACACTTCAGAGCAGTGGTTTCTAAAGCTGGGGTGCAGACCCCACTGTGGGTCAACAAGAACTACACGGGGTCTTGTGTTGGTTACCAGAAATCTCAGTTAAATTGTGAAACAACTGTTGAAGCTGTATTTCTAGTGTAATTGTCACAAAAACTCAACCAAATGATTATAAATGAATTTAAGTGAACATAAGCTGAATTATTGAACTTTTGAAGCAGGTTTTTATCATCAGTTCAGAGATTTCTGGAATCGTATGTCTTGACAAATGCTATTTTGTGGGTTTGAAGCTGAAACGTTTGGAAACATCTAAAATGTCTTGATGTTATTTAGACTGAAGAAGTGGTGGTACATGACAAAAAGAGCTGTTTGTTACTCGACTTTAGATGAAAGATGCTTTGAAAATGTTCTAAATACTTATTAATCATCCGCAAAACTACTAACTTTTTTCAGATCCTCATTGGTCTCAAGTCTTATTCCTGCATCACTATTTAGATAGTTGTTCTTTTCCAAAAGCAGGTATGTCGTTGTCTTAGATAGCCGATATTAGAAATAGTGGAACGTTCACACACCTTTTGTCTTTTCAGTGTGAAGTTGATAGAAACACGGAAAAAGACAAGTTAGTCATCAAGTCTGTGATTACTGACGAGAATAAAATGTTATCATTTTAAAGTTGGAGTCATTGTAAAGTTTCATGAGTAACACTGTAAAAAAAACCAGCGTAGATTTTACGGTAAAACGCCAGAATGGTACGGGCAAAACCTTTTTCTTTTACAGTAAGAAGGTATTTTGTTATTATTTTAATGGGTAAAAACAGCACTGAAGTCAGGATTTTATTGTAGAAGAAAATGTTTTTACTTGAAGAAAAAACATCGTTTTACCATGAAACGAGCACGTAAATAATCTATAAGATTAAATTTTTGTAACTAAAAACAAATTTTTTCCCACTAAAAGCAAATTTCAAAGGGTTTTCCTTATTACACAAAATTATCCATCGCTGTTCATTTCATAAAATGAAATAACTGATTAACTGGCATTAAGGTCACAACCGGTTATAATAGCTTTGCCTGCTTAATTGCTGTTCACATCTTTCAACTGCACTTGTGGGTAACATTGTAACAGCCAAAAGCGGTGTCAGTAACGACATCAGCAGTAAGGCCTTCAGGTGCATTCAGGTGTCAGGTCGGTTCAGCCAGACCTCACCTAAATGCTGCTAAGCACACTGGGAAACAGGATGTGAACTTCTTACACCGTTACCAACAATTAAAGCTGTATGTTTTTCCATAAATAAATGTAGAAATCATAGTGTTTTACCTTTTAGAAACTTTAAGGAAATTTTCCATTAAAAAAACGATGCAAGAGTGCTTTGCAGTAGAATTATGTCTTTTTACAAAGAAAATATATACAAATTATCATTTATTCTCAGCAACTTCACATAAAATCAACTGTTTTAAATAGTTTTAGAGTTGACGGGTTTTCCCTGTCATGGTTTTGCGGTGAATTCACATATACGGTTATTTTGTACAGTGTAGAATCTGGACATTTATTGCGGCACTTGTAAAAATCCTCACGGGGGTGGTTTTATTGACTAAACAGTGAGATGGGAACTAAAGCTGAGGGTTAATGCTGCATCCTGCTTTTCCAACTGTCCAGGTCCTGAAATGGTGGTGAGTTAATATTGACCCAGCTCACCGCAGGGTGTCCTGGTTGTCAGACGAGCACAAGGCTGCTCTGATCCTGAATTTGTGGTGAAGTAATTGTTGATATATTCAGTGCCTCTGTGTGTTTTGGCTGCAGTTTGTTGCTAAGCAGTTTATCCGCTGGTCAAGCTCATTTAAAAAGCATCAACTGAATTACAGCATGGCCTTCACGGAAAACAGTTTTGGTGTTTTCCGGAATAACTCAGTCACTCATAGTTGTGTCTGTCCGATCCACGCTTCCTCTTCCTCCTTTTCACCTGGTGTTGACGATCACATCACAACCAGTGAGTGTCAGGTGTCCGAAATGACACGTGCAGAGCAAAGAGCCACAGCAACACAATCCACTCTCCAGACGGCGGGTCAGGGCGTGTGCGCGTCCGAAGCAGGAGTGTGCCTGTGTGTTCACCAGCCGAGCGGCGATGAAAAGTGTGCCCAACCCGCTCCTTCACTGTTGTCCCCTAACAGCAAGGTAATGGTTGTGGTGATTACAGGGACAATGGGCTTTAAGGTGAGAGGATGTCTTCATTATTTAACACACACACACACACACACATTTAAACAGCTACATGTGGAAACCCACTCACACCTGCTCCCTGTCGCCCTCACACACCTCCACATTGTTTGGATGCTAAACAAAGTCACTGGATGTGTGTCCAAATGCCACCATCTTCTATGAATAAGACAAATAAAGCTTCTCAAGAAAGGTTGATGATGCAAACATCAAAGCAGAGGGAGAGTCCATGTTTGTGGCACGTCTTTGTTAGTTTATCATGTGAACTTGGGTCTGAACTAGCATATGACCTGGGCTGCTTAATCTTTCCACTGACGCTGTTTTGTTTGGTCTCAAGCTAACTATAGAAGCCTACTCTGTATAGTCACGTTGCAGTGACTATGGAAAGGACATGCAAAAGAAACAACTCCAAAAGAAACACTTGAGGAGTCTAACTTGAACCGATGAAGGGTGCCGAGATGAACTTTTGAGTTTTATCCTGTTTGGGGCTCAAAATTTGACTCAAAAATGTACATCACATATTCTGACATGGACTACATGCGCAGTTTCTATGTTACCCAGTAACAGTTTCACTCTGCCAACCAACCAAACACCTCGATTACCCTTCATAACTAAAACACAGCCTCCCATAACAACACTGACACAAAATTCTCACCTGTTAGGATGAACAGGACAGGCAAGACGTATAAGGCTACTCTTCTGGTGGCCTCCATGGCATCTTATTTGTTTAGGAATATGTGGGACTTCTGTCGTGTAGGCAGGAATTGTGGGATGTCTGTCAGAGGACAGAGGAGGAAGAGAAAGAGGAGGAGGAGGAGGAGGAGAGAAATGAGTCTGGTTGTGGTGACAACATTTGCCAGGGAAATAAGAGGAGCTGCTGTAGCTTTCCTGCATGCTGCAGAAATGCTCCTCCCATGTGACACTGAGAGGAGGAAGAGGTCCACCTGGCAGAGAGAAAGTACAGTGTGGTCTTACACACACGCACGCATGCATACACATTCATGCATGTACACACACACGCACACACACACACACGCATGCGTACACATGCATACACATGCATGCATGTGTACGCACGCACACACACACGCTCTCACACACACACACGCTCTCACACACACACACACGCACGCATGCATACACATGCATGCATGTGTACACACACACACACACACATGCACACAGACATGCACTCACACATAGTTGTGCACACACGCACACACACACACACACACACACGCACACACACACACACATGCACACAGACATGCACTCACACATAGTTGTGCACACACACACACACACACACACACACACACACACGCACGCATACACATGCATGCATGTGTACACACACACACACACACACACACACACACACACACACACACACACACACACACACACACACACATGCACACACATGCACACAGACATGCACTCACACATAGTTGTGCACACACACACACACACACACTCACACACACACACACACACACACACACACTCACACACACACACACACACACATGCACACAGACATGCACTCACACATAGTTGTGCACACACACACACACACACACACACACACACACACACACACACACACACACAGAGCAGAGTCTTTTTTGCTGCGTGTGTGCCCTGGGCAGTGGAACAATGTTTTTACCTCCTGACTCCTGTCAGTGGTGAGTTCTTCTGCTGGAGGGAATGAAGTTGTGTGTCTAGAAATAAGAGGAGAAACACCCAGATACCGATACGCTCTCCTCCAGGTAAAGACTCTTCGTTTTCATGTCCTGTTCTCAGACACTTAGCCTCATCATGTCCCTTTAGTCCGTGAGAATAGCTGACGAGACTTTTACAGAAACCACTAAATTAAACTGGTCAGTGTTTGAACATTTCATAAAACCCCGGGCAGAAGACTTTTCTTTTTATTTGTCCATCTTAAAGGATACGAGTGGCTCGGGGCAGATCTGAGCAGTGACTGGATGGCTCCACAGTCGTGTGATGAACCATTGAAGAACAGCTTGTTGTTCTTGTATTTTACTGTCTCTAAAGCGTATGGATTTTTATTAGATCTGAGGAGCACAGTGGTTCGTCTGTTTATTTGATATCTCATTACAATAAAGAGTTCCTATGACTTTGGCAGATTTCTGTGACTTCACAGCCACATGCTCGGGAACAGAGTGTTTTCATATCTTCAGCTGTGACATGTAACTTTAATCAATGAAACCTTTTATTTTAGACTTAAAATTCCTTCTAAACCTGCAAACTTCCCCCATGCCTGCAGGGGGCGTCAGAACATCATCTACCTATCTGTTTTGTTGTAAATTGTCCTGAAAGGCCCTTTTTAAATCAAATGTGTTATTATTCTTTTTAATTGTTATTATTAGTTTGTTTATTTTTATTTTTTGTCAGTGTGTACTTCAATAATATATATATGGTCTGATATCTGCTCTACAAAGCAGTCGATCATTCATTTATGCTCTTCTTATAAAAACGTTAGTCCCAAATTATAATAATTATTTCCATATAATGGTTGTTGGAGTCTGTTAAAATGTATTTGTTGATGTTTCAGAGACAAGCTGATGCGTAAACCTTTTCTTGTTTCAGATGTTCTGCTAAACCATTTTTACCGTATGTTGGGTTTTTCCTGTGAGACAGGTTGCTCCTGTGTAGAGAACAAAACACAACATATTTTCATAAGACAAGGGGAAATTGAGAAACAGAGCTTACCTAATAGTTGGCCCAGAATGTTTTGACTTCTGTTCAAACTTTTTTGTCTGATCCTAGCTGCACCATTTACTGGCTGGAAACTTAAAAACCTAAGAAAGTTGCGGGAGAAATGTTTGTAACTGGAGCCTGAACGTTGAAGGATATTAGAGAATCCTTACCAGGGCTCTTCTGCACATCTATGCTGGTCTAAATCGTGTATTTTCAGAGTGACACGTCCATGTATCCCTGAAGTACATGGTGTCCAATCAGCTTCCAAACTGCTGAATTGTTTTTCACACCTAATTATTTTTGTTTTCTTTATGTAATCTCATATTTCTGCTCTTCTTGTCTCCCTTTTCCTTTTTTTAAGTTTCATTCTGGTTTGCCTCCAGTCATCCTCTCCTCCAGCAACCTTGGCCTCCAGATGCTGTCGGTGGGAGCAGACACAGCCCACATCTAGGCTGTAGTACTGGTGTGTGTGTGTGTGTGTGTGTGTGTGTGTGTGTGTAAATGGTCTGTATTTTGATGTAGCGCCTTCTAGAGTTCTTGGAACCCACCTAGGCGCTTTACAACACAGTCATTCACCCATTCACACACACATTCACATGCTGGTGGGGATGACAGAGGCGAGGCTGCCGAGCACTGGCGCCACCGGTCCCTCCGACCACCACCAGCAGGCAACGTGGGTTAAGTGTCTTGCCCAAGGACACAACGACAGCGACGGACTGAGCGGGGCTCGAACCTGCAACCTTCCGATTACGGGGCGAGCACTTAACTCCTGTGCCACCGTCGCCCCAAACACACACGTGTGTGTGTGTGTGTGTGTGTGTGTGTGTGTGTGTGTGTGTGTGTGTGTGTGTGAGGACATTTTTCTGGTCCTCACGTTGGGACAACATCACAGAGCTCTACTCATTACTTTTAGAGGCAAGGTGTGAATTAAGCGGAGGTGTGGACTCGAGTCACATGACTTAGACTCGAGTCAGACTTGAGTCATTATTTTAATGACTTCTGATTTGACTTGATAAACTCTATAAAGACTTTCAACTTGACTCAGACTTGAACGCCAATGACTTGCGACTTGAATCGACTTGGATCTGCTGACTTGATGATGACTTGAGCATGTTTGATATTTTAGCTCAAAAGTGGCACGACATGGACAAAAATCATGAATCATTCTTCGTTCTGGGTGTGATTTACCGCTAAATGCGGCAGCGCTTTGTTCAGAATCAGTTTCAGTTGCACTTTCTGCTTGTTTGAGTAAATAAATGAAGCTTGAAGAAGATTTATTTCTGGAATTTATTTATTATCATTGTCATTAAATTGAAGTTGGACAGATGACTTGATTATGACTCGAAAATTCACAGTTAAGGACTTGGACTTCCACATCATTGACTTTTGACTCGACTTGAACTTGGTTGTCTTTGATTTGGACTTGACTGGAAAGACTTGTGACTTATTTGTGACTTGCAAAGCAATGACTTGGTCACACCTCTGGAATTAAGTTTTAGTTAAAGTTAGAGTTAGGCAGAATCCAGTCACTAAAATGACTGGAAGTCAATGACGGTCCTTACAACGAATGCTAGACGAGAATGTGTGTGTGTGTGTGTGTGTGTGTGTGTGTGTGTGTGTGTGTGTGTGTGTGTGTGTGTGTGTGTGTGTGTGTGTGTGTGTGTGTGTGTGTGTGTGTGTGTGTGTGTGTGTGTGTGTGTGTGTGTGTTAAAGAGGATGGGTGTAGGCAGGTGCAGGTTTTTCCTTATGAGGAGGGTTTTTTTTACTGCTGCACTGTTGAACCCTTTTATCACTCTAGATCTGACTTGTTGGTGCCTATGTGGCAACTTCATGAACCGGCTGCTTGTCCCAGAATGCATAGGTCGAGTCGGTGGGAATCATAAAGAATGCCCCTGCATTCTTCACACTCAGTCAGACAAAACAGTGTGAGAAACATTTAGACAGTGACTGCATATACGTGTCTTTTTCTAGAATGAAAGCAGTCGTGCAGCAAGCAACTCACCACCATTACACTATCTTACGCCCACGCAACATGTGACCAACAGTCAATGACAGGAAACAAGCCAATGTCAAATCCTGCTGCCTGCAACCAAGATCCTCTTCAGTTCGCACACACACACACACACACACACACACATACACGCGCGCACGCACGCACGCACACACACACACACACACACACAGACCTATTGGAAAAAGGTGTTTGTGTTGCACGTGCCATAAACCAAGCCAGTGTGTGTGTGTGGGTAGATGGTGCATGCGCACGCATACAGAGTTGAATGGACACAGCTGCCCCTATGTTCAGCAGCGAACTGTTGATCCCAAACTGAAAGTCAGTACTCCCTTTGCTCAGGCATGTGCTTGTTCATTTCACTTCCCATGGTCAGAATGGCTGCGAGAACAACAGCATGCTTGCCTGCACCAAAGTAAAAAATTGACCAGTTTCACAGGATTGGTGACAACTTTAAGAAACCTGACAGGGGAAGGTGATACTCTTTGGCACAGGGCAGTACCTCTGTCTCTGACTTACTTAGATGTGAAACAAAATAATACAATGCAATAAAATGAGCCCGCCCCCCTTGATCCAGTGGAGGAGTTTGAGTGCCCTAATGATCTTGGAAGGCAGGATTGCCATGGCAGGGTCTCCCACAGCAAACTGCTTCCAGGTGAAGAATGAGACAAAACTGTCCAAAAGACCTCCATGAGTATAAAAACAGAGGAGCAGATTACCTGGCCCAGATGGTTAATGCGCTGGAGCCCTGGAGCCAGGCTTAGGGTTGAGACTGTGTGCAAGTGCCTTGTTGCCCATGAGGCTTACCCGGGCCCAGTCCATAGGCTTATTTGGACCAACTCAGGACCCACAGCCTGCAGGGAGAACATGCATGGTGTAATCTGGATCGGGTGGCAGGTCACGGCAGTTTTGACAATACGAATCAGAGAATATAAAGTCTCATTACATTGTCACACACACTGGTGACATTTACTCTGCACATATGACCCTTCCCCTAGGTAATGGTGAGCTGCAGCTTTGGCCGTGCTCGGGAACTATTTGGCAGTTTAAGCCACCCCAGTCAAACCCCTTAATGCTGAGTATGTAGCAGGGGGGCATTGGGTCCCATGCTTACCATCTCCCAGTCCCAGGGCGGTCA